CACCTACTTTTACTATACTACCTATTTCCTCTACTTCTGTCAAACCAAAATTTCAAAAAATCCGATTACTTTTGCTCTAATAAGCCTGGTCATGTGTAATATCGAAAAGCAGACGGTCACACACCGAAACTGACTTCAAAAAAGGCTTTTAATAAGTTTTCAATCCTCGAAATGCCCTCTGGCGATTCAGAAGGTCATTGCGAAATTGCAATAACGCGAACGCTTATCAGCCGCGGGCGATGATTCTTTTTTCGAGCCGACTTCCGACAACGATGCGTCTTGTCATACGACCGACGGTAATCATCGTATGTTGATGGTGGTTTTGAGTTGTTGATAGTGAGGTTTTAGGTGGGATATGAGTGGATTTTTTTTAGGTTTAGTCAAGTTATAGAGGTTTGAAGGTGTTTGAAACCGTGTGTCCGAAAATAGGTAAGGAAACCTATATTAATATCTAAATTTTGGCAAAATTAGAAGTCGTATCAAAATAAGTTTTTTACAAAGTAAAACCGATAGCATTAGGTATATTGTGATTAAATTATCAGTTTTATCAAGCTCTGTAACACGAGATATGATTCATCAAGCTTAACAACAGCTAATATTTGTACTGCCGAAACTAAAATTGATTTTTTGAGGCAATGCCATTTCTAAATATAAACGATTGTTTTTGTTTGGGTAACTAAAAAGTGACGTTTTTGCTGTTTTATCACTCAGTTTTAAAAATTTATGGCAAGTTTAAAAAAGTTCTTGATTTTTTGAAGTCTAACTCTATAGGTGTTGAGATGACTATGTTAATATAGGATTTTTTTGTAAGGAAATGAAAACATCTAATAATAGTTTTTACCGTGTTAAAGATTAAGGTATTAACTATATTATGGCGAAGTTTTAGGCTTTTAAGATAAGTATTCGCAAAGATATGAGCTTTTGTTTAAGGTATACCTAGTGTAATATCCTTAAAAAGAAAAAATGTGGGTTTGAAGTCAAAAAACCAAACGTTACTGACAAAACCTAAGCGTATAGTATTTAAAATGTCATTTTTCGCAAAGTTCAATATTACACTAGCTACATTACATTAAAATGTAATAAATCTTGCAAATATTCCAATATTAACCACCATATCAAAGCTTTCCTGTGTAACATTACAAGGCAATATAATTTCTTGATCGAATAACTGGTTTTTTATTTATAATCGTGGTGTTTTTTCGGTATTTTTACTACTGCGGTGTTCCTTATTTTCGATTGAATTTGAAGCGATGTGAAGTGGATAATTTCTTATTTGATTACTGTACTTTAACAAAAGAAAAACAGACTTTGGAGGGGTGTTTTGATGGGTTTTAATAGACTTATGGGTTGGTAAATATGAAAAAAGGGTAAGATGTTATAGTAGTTTTAAGGTAAAGGCAATACTTTTGATCATACTGAGGCCGTAGTAGCACGTACGGAATTTTAATAGCTACTGCGGCATGGTAATTGCTAGTAAAGCATGGTAAAGGCTAATACGGCGTAATAAAGGCTACTACAGCGCGATAAGGGCTGCTAAGGCGTGGACAGTGCTATTAAGGCGTGGTCAGTGCCACTACTGTGTGGTAAAGTCTACTACGGCGTAGTCAATTCTTGTACGGCGTGGTAAAGGCTACTACGGTGTGGTCAGTGCTACTACAAAGTAATTAGTTCTAATACAACGTGGTAAGGGCTACTTTGACGGGGTAAGTGCTATCATGGCGTAGCCAGTGCTACTGCTACATGGTAAGTGTTACCACGGCGTTGTAAATGCTACTATGGAGTTGCAACTATTACTAAAATGTGGTCAATGCTACTACGGTGTGATAAAGTCTACTACAGCATAGTCAATGTTGGAACGAGGTGGTAAAACAGTGAATGGGGGTGGAGAGTAGTGGGGATGTGTATAAAAATTTTTAGGTAAAATACGCTTTGCCTTACTGAAATTTAGTAAGAAAAAGGTTTTTAAAATGTTTTTAAAATGCTTTTTAAATTTAAAAAAAATCAAGTTTGATGTAACAAAGAGTTGTCATCGTAACTGTTTGGCTCATTAAATTTCGAATAAAAAATAAATTTGGGATAGGTTACTGGAGATGGTAAACAAAGAAAAAAAACAGTGTAAAATAGGGCTCAAATTCGTTTTTTTAAATTCTTTCAATTTGTAAATTTTAAGTTAGGAAAGAGGGGTACTCTTACCTCACCATTAGCTTCTTAGACCTACCCTTCCTAATATTCGGCAAAGTTTTAGTCTTACTTATAGCTTTACCCTTATATAATATTTAAGCTTAGCCCTACTTTTTGCCTTAATCATATTCATACCTCTAGTCTTGTTCCTTAGCCCTATTCGTAATCTTGATTCGGGCCGTACTCTTCGTACTACTTTTAACTTGACCCTTATCTCTACTCTTAGTCTCACTCTTAAACCTACTCTTAACCCTACCTTTACTCTTAGCCTTAGTCTTTCTTTTACCTCTAGTTTTAGTCCTACCCTTAGCTCTACTCTTAGCCTTACCGTTAGCACTACCCTTGGATCTGTTCTTATTGTTAGTCTTGCTCCAGCTTTAGTCCTACTTTTATCTTCAGTTTTATCCTTACCCATAGCCTTTCCAAAGTTCAAACTACCCACCAACCCATACCCTTATTCTCTAATACATTTACCGTTGCACGCGGCGGTAGTTGGTTAATTACCCGAACGCAATCGTTTTTTCCCTCGCCCTGCCGAGAACGGTGAGTTTGACCCGGTTTCGCAGGAATAATCGAATAAATAATATGCATTAGGGGGTTTCCGGTTTCTGAATCCGATTTCACTTTCTTCAAAACCTTCCCAATCCCTCCGAGGCTGGATTTGAAAGTTTGTAAGTTCGGCGATTAAAAAAGGTTTCTTTGAGGGTTTCGGTCGAAAGAAAAGTAATTCTGACTCCGAGGGATTTGGAAGAGTTTCGAAGAGTGTTTCACTTCAAAGTTCAAACGAATTTATTTTGGATTTGGGGTTTGTAAACTGACTTCTGACTTTGAAGACTTCAAGAAGTTGACTAAAAATTTTTTTGAACTTTTAAAAAAGTTTATAATACGTATTGGAGTAGTGTAGGGTAGGGTATTGGGGTAGGGTAGAGTAGGGTATTGGGTAGAATAGGGTAGGATATTTGAGATGAGTAGGGTAGGGTAGAAAAACAAAAAAGAGGATTGGCTTGTCATGCTAGGTATCGTGGTAGAGTAGAGTAGGGTGCCAAACTAGAGTATGGTAAAGTAAAGGTTAAACTAACAAGAAGGTTGGGTAAAATGGCGTAAATTATGGAATACGATAGGTTTCATGATAGGGCATCGCAGAGTAATGTAAAGTACAGTTCAAAGCGAGATAGGGTACAATAGGGTAGGATAGATGAGGATAAACATAAGAGTAGTGAAGAGCTAAATCTAGAGCTAACGTTAAGGCAATTTTTAGGTTATATTAGTCAAATACAGGAAATGAAATCTAGGACAGAGCAGGGCAGAGTAAGGTATTGAAGGAGTAAAGGATAGGGGTAGGTATGGATAGAAGAAAGGGTAGGTGTAAAACTAGGGTTGAGGCTAGTGCTTTGGGCTAGGGCTTTGGGCTCTGGGCTAGAGCTCCGGGCTAGGGCTCTGGGCTAGGGTTCGGGACTTGGGATCTGGGCTAGCGCTCTGGGCTAGGGCTAGGGCTCTGGACTAGGGCTCTGGGCTAGGGCTCTAGGTTAAGGCTTTGAGCTGGGGCTCTGGGCTAGGGCTCTGGACTAGGGCTCTGGACATTTTTTTTATTTTTTACAATCTACTCCACTTAAGAATCTCCCGTATCTCTTCTACACAAAAAGCGAAGCCGGCTTCAAGAACGGTTTCCCTTTTTTCTTCTGTTTATTCATGCCGAAACAACGCTTCGGCGGAGGGAAAAGGAGAGGGGTCTTGAGGCTTCAGGTATTTATAATATCATAAAACTGGTTTTAAGCTTGTTTTTCTTGTTATGACAGGTTTTTCGGAGGTGTGGGTGGTTGGGATGTTAGAACAACAACAATATGGTAAGTTAGGGTATATTCTGGTGGTAGGGGGTGAGTTTTTTAGAGGCGGGTTTTGAGAGGAGGGGGGGGAGAAATAAAAAATACTTTGGGTAGGGCAGGAAAAGTAAGAAAAACGTAAAAAATTGGTGGGCGGGGTAAATTTTCATCATTTTTTGCTAAGGGGTATTTTTTTCTTTCTTACGCTTCTAGAACCTTCTATAACCAATTTTATTGCCATTATACCCTAAAAACCCACCTCCTTTCCGATATCTTTTACCTCACAACCCATTTCATCATCAATCTATATCAATATATAAACATAAAAACAGATCCATCTATATTAAGCTTGACGAACACATTGCGCAACCCAAGTTTCTCTTTTTTCACATCTGAATCCTCGATTTGAACGTGTTTTTGAAGCGGTCGAAAAATGTTTGGCAAATTGAAAATTGAAAATTTTCTTAAGGTGGAGGAGGGGGGATAGTAAGGCAGGGCAAGGTAAGATGTCAAGTTGAAATAAGGTTGTTTATAAAATTGGGGGGGGGGGGTAGAGAAGGATAGTTTAGGGTTTAGTATACTAGCTGCAGGGTGCTAGAGCTAAAGTTAGGGCTAAGAAAGGGTGTGCCTAGGAACAGGACAGGGCTAAAAATAAAAATCAAAACTAAGGTAGGGCTAAAAAGGGCTAAATTAGTAAAAGAGGGGTAGAGTAGGAATTAGAGTAGACAAAGGAGAAAGAAAACTTTGGATAATGTTGGCATGGGTCAGGATAAGACTAGATCTAGGCTTTGGACTAACACTATGGATAATGCCAAAGACTATGCTAATGCCTAGGCTGTGCTTAGGGCTAAGGCTAAGGCTAAAGCTAAGGCTAAGGCTAAAGCTAAATTTGTTCCGTGCACTGTTTACGCGTATTTCACCAATATAAAAAACAATTTTTTAATTTTTAAAATTTTCAGCATTACCTTTGAAGCTCAAGAACAAAACAACCGGAAGAGAATGTGTAATTTGTTGACCGTTCCAATCACCGCATACACCAGCGTTCCAGCCAAAGCCCCTATCTCAGTCGAGGGCATTCCAGGCAACACCATCTCCAATGTCAAGGGCACTGATGGTAAGGGTTACATTGACTTTTTTAAGCAGAGTTTAAGATAAAATGGCATGAAAATTTGAGACTAAGCCTAAAATGGCTTACGAGGTGAAAAATAAGCCTAACTCAACAAAAAATTAAAAAATTAAGCCACAAAAAGCATGTTAAGCCTAAAACAAAAAAAATTGTTTTAATCCTAAAATTTAATAAAAAGCTTAATTTTAAGCCTAAAAACCGCTAAAATTCTTAAAATTTTATTCTTTAAATCGTATTTTACAAAAACTCCGCAATTTTCAGGCAAACCAGTAGCCAGTGCTTCACTGCTCAGAATCTCTCACAACTTGGCCTACTTCTCACTGATCAACTTGGACTCAGTTGTGGCTCAGAAGGCTGTCACGGTCTCCACTCCAGAAGACGATCCTCTCAACTTGGAATTGGGCGAGGTTTATGTAAGTTTAAAATGGTAAAATTTTTGGTTTTTTGAGTCAAATTTAGATTGTTCAAATAATTATGAGCTACCTCATAAGGCAAATTTCGTGGTTGGGTGGCGCAGAGTTTTTTGAACAATTAATGGGGTTTTTGGTAAAAGTGGGTAGACTTTGATAGATCATAGGTTGATTGATAATTGATAGTTTGGCTTAAATTTTTTTGATAAGGTAGAGTTTATTACTCCGTATATTACTGTATGTTCACTTTTTTGACATTCTTTTTAAGTTTTGAAAAAAATGGTAAAAATAGCCGTTTTTTGAGAATTTTAGCAGTTTTTGATCGATTTCAAAGCAAATTTTAAAGTTTTGAACTAAAACAAAACAGTATAATATAGCTTAAGGCTTTTAAATTTAAATTTTTAAACCAACTTTCCCAACTTCTCCCTTCCAGGACGCCCTCCCCTTCCGCCACCACTACCCCGTCTACATCCAGGTCCACTACAACAACCCCGAGCGCCTCGTCCTCGAGCACTTGCTGGACAACTTGGCCGAAACCGTGTTGGGTCGCAACAACCTGGAACTCAAAAAGAATGTCACGATTGATCTCTACGACTCGGACGGTGATGCCCACTTCAGAGATCGGCTCGGATTCTTCGTTTCGGATCGAAAACAGTTCCATCAGATCACCGTGTCCGCTTCTGAGGCTGCCAAAGTGCTGAAGAAAGATTCGGGTAGGGTTTTTTAACTTTTTGGGGGTTTGTAGGGTTGAGAGGGGTAATTTTTTGAAATTTTTTAAAATTAAAAAAAAATTTTAATTTTAAAATTTTTTGAAATTTCAAAAAACTTTGAAAAATATAAAAGTTAAAGCCATAATAATGCCATTTTTCAATATTTAAAGTTATCTTCAAGCCATTTTGATCCATTTCGAGCCCTCTTCATGCCTTTTTTTGCCCCCCCCCCTGATAATGGTACTTTTAATGACAACCCCTCCCGGAAGTGGACTTTGTTCTATGTCTAACGCAACATGCACTTTGAGTGACATTACTTAACTGACCACAAAATATAGATTACTGCAAACCAGTTTTTGGAGGGGTTTTATTACTTTTTGTCATCAAAAAACGACAAAATTTATGTTTTCCCATCGAAATTTATGTTTTTCAATGGAAATTTATGATTTTAGGTATGAAATTTATGTTTTTAGCGTTTGAAAAGTGTAAGAAAATGAAGTTTTGTTAAGGAGAACCAGAGATCTTTTAATGAAAAAGTGCGTTAGAATGAGGAAAAATGCCATTTTTGATTTAACTGTTACCTAAAAATCACAAAAATTAGAATCATCATGACATTTTTTACCTAAAAATCCCAAGAAAACACCAAAAAAACTTGATATTAACCACAAAAACTACCAAAAACATCATATTAACCACCAAAAAACCCTCAAATTTTCAGCCTACAAAGTGGAAAAGTTCAGTCCATCAGCTTTCCAAGACCTGGTCGAATTCGACAACACTCTATCTGGCCAAACCCGCGACGACTATCTGGAAGCCATGACCAAGAAAGTCCAAGTCTTCGTGATCAAACCAGCCAAAGCCGTGGTTGTTGATGAGGACGAGAAGAAACCGCTGAATCTGTCAGGCTACGCCTTCGTACACGGCGACAGAATCCTCAGCTTGGTCGCCGATTCATCGGAAGTCGCCGAAACGCTGTTGGCCGGCGTTTTGGAAGCCACCAAGAACAAACAGGTAGGTATTGGGGTAGTATTGGGGGTATTTAGGGAATCCTTCACTGATTGTTAGAGTTAGGTGTGTTTAAGCTGGTTTTTCACCCACGCCCTGGCTGAAAAAGTGGAAAATTCTTACAAAACCCTGTAGGCAAGACTCTTCTTCATCATTGCTGTAAATTTCTTATAAAAATATTCAAAAACAACAAAGTTATATTCAAAATAACATTATTTTTCATCTTATTTTAGGGATTCGCTTGAGTTTATGCCATTTTTCATTAAAACTAGCCCAAAAATTCCCCTAAAAACTATACCACTAACTTTCTCATACCTTAATGCATCTAAACTACAATATTTTCCTTTAAAGTCACAAAAAACTACCAAGTTATAATCGAAAAACGGCCATTTTATTGTAAAACCGAATGACCTTTCGGCCTTTTCGCAATACAGAGCGCTTCTCTTTCGTCTCGCCTCCGTGCTGGGATGGCCGAGTGGTTAAGGCGGTGGACTTAAGTTCCCCTGGGCGTCAGCCCGCGTGGGTTCGAACCCCACTCCCAGCAACTCACTTTTTGCTCGAGTTGTTGAGATTTTTAGCTGGGGTAGGGGTGGAATAAGGTTATGGGGTGTAGTGTAAGACGGTTTCTATTGTTTTATTTTGATAATCATGATGTTTTAGCCTATAAAAAGCAATAAAAACTACTAAAAATAGTAATGTTTTACAAAATTGCACTAGTTTTTGCCATTTTTAATCGTACCCTCTTTACAGTTCACTTTGGCCGGCCCATTGAGCCACTTCCGTCAACTCACCGACCTGCCCAGCACCAAATCTCGCTCCATCTATCGTCGTCACACTCGTGCCGTGCCAGCCAACGTGAAATGGGACCGCATCTTCGCCATGAACGTCGGCATCAACCTTTTCTAATCCCTCTACCTCTATATCATCTTAATTAACAGACTTTTACGCAGCACAAACATATTTCGAGTTTATTTGTACATTGACGCCTTTAAACAAAAGAATCCATCGTCTCAGCTCCTCTCACGTTTCTTCGTTTTTCCTTCCTTTTTTCGATTGTAACGACTTTCTTTTCGGATTAATAAAGTTGTTGTAGTTTGGAAATTCGTTTTTAAACCATCTTTCGGTCAAAAAGTTCTTAGAACCCAAAAAATTTCAAAAACAAATTCCAAGTCCGACTGGCACGGTGCAAAAATACGTTGCACCGCGCAGTAAACTATCCAAAATTTAAAAAAATATGAAAAAGCTATTACCCCACCCATACAATCCCAAAAATTTATTTTTCTTACCCAAATATCCGAAAAAACCAAAATTTTAAAATTCAATATTATTTATAGTTAAAAACCCTCAGGCAAATTGAGAATGAGATACAAACACTTGAGAAAATGATAAATACCAACAACAATTCATTACCAAACTGTTTTCAAAAGTATTTTAAAAACCTGCAATCATCTTTAATAAAAACTGCACAGTGCAGTCTATTTGTTGGTTACACCGTGCAAAAACAAAAAACCTTTAAAACTACACTATTCAGACCTTCAAAAAACTTTTAAAACAACCTAGTATAACATTCAAAACATCTCAGCATTACAATACAATTTTTGAAAATATTTAGAAAAATCTCTTCAAAAATTATATTGTAGTAGACCAATAAAATTAATTTCCTCAAAATCTAAGTTAAGCCACATGTTTGCTAGGTGGAGATACCAATATAACACTGTCGCCTCGCACAAACAACATACTGATCTGTCTTTTGGCTGTTTTGTAGATCTCTTCGTAGCTTTCTTCGTCCGTTTCGATGGTAGTGACAGTTTCTTCAACATCAGACAAAATCATGTTCAAATGCTGGTCGAAGGCATGCAACCGACCGGTCAACTCACGCTCGGATCTCATTTTAACAAAAACTCTTTCGTTTAGCGACAGTCGGATCAGATCTAGCGGTTCTTCGACGGCTACACCAACCTGGAAGAAGATGAGTAATATAAGACTGGTAATACAGCCAAAAGGTAAAATTAGAAATAACAAAAGTTTAAGATGTCGTATTTTACCATATTGTTATCTAAAATATTTAAAAAACCATGAGATTGCAAGTCCAAATCCATTTATACCTAAATTTCGTTGAAAAATCAAAATTTACCTGTTCTGAAGTAACAAACTGTGCCATAACTTATCGATCAGCTATGCAACAACCCTGCAATTTACTAAAAAACAAAATTATAACCTTCTTCACTTCTACCATCAAATACAATATCGTATCTTAACGAATTTCACCAATAAAAATGATTAACATTACACTTTATTGTGGAAAAATAAATAATTATTCAATTTAAGCAAAACCTGTAGCAAAAAAAGCTCATGGTGAAGAGTTTAACGTCCAGTTACTCCTTGACAAGATGTTTAACACGATCCAACGCCACCAAGTAACGATCGCCTTCTTTTATGCCAAAAGGTCCGAGTTCACATTCAGAACAACATAGGTATTGAACTCCTTCGTGTGATCGGGTTACGCCAACATTGTCAAAGTGAAATACGTCCTTATATAAAAAATTTAATGTAGGTTAGATACATATATACATATCTTTATCCAATTTACTTTAAAAGTTTAGTTTTAACTTAAAAACTCAAACTCATTCCAATCTGATGTCTAAATTAATATAAAATAGCTCAGAACGCCGCAGTTTGAAAAGAAATGACAAAGATAACACTAAAAATTGTTAACACATTACCTTTGTCAACTAAAAAGTCTTATACTACCCATTTATTCTTCAAATTTACAACTTTACATCAAAAAACATTTTCCCTCCCATCTGATCCCTATGATAATATAAAACAGTCTGAAACTCATAAAATAAATTCAAAACCTACCCCAACTATCCACCATTGACTAAAAGGTTCCTTAGCTGTCTCTTTAGCTAACTTTTGTTGTGTTTCGGTCGGCAACTGCAGTTCATATTCATCAAGAAAAGTACCCACATTCTCCGACATGACAATACACTCGCAAAGCCGGCATTTTATCTTTGTGCTGTTCGTTCCTTCTTCATTACATATCTATAACAACAAAAAAATGTACTGCAACTTTTCAAGAAGATCTTATAAAGATTTGATACCTAGAAGCCAAAGAAAACATCAAAAATTACCTTCTCCTTCATATTTGTTGAACTCTCCGGATTGGAGGCGCTTGATGAACTCATTCTTCTTCTCCAAACGTTCCCTTAAGCTGCCAATTTCACTGATCTGACTTTCCAAATCCTGGTCAATGTCTGGCAAATTTTCTACAGCGTTCTTAAGATTTACAAGACAAGTATAGATCTGTGTAACCTTTGCCTGATTCGTTGATGGTGTTCCTGTTCGTTGATGAATTCTAAAGCAACAAAACATTATGTTTTAAATTTTTAAATCAACATTAGATCAACATGCTTGTTTATTGTACAATTCTTTAATTATTAAAAGCGTCAAACAAAGCTAAAACTCAAAAAACAATATTATCCATGCCACTTACTGAGTCAAAAGACCACTATAGTTTTGTTCCAAAGTCTCAAGAATATCGCGGCACTTTTGGGCAGTTGTAGCGTTAGATTCAGTAGTTGCCATGAACAAAAAACCTTATTATGCCAATTTCAACGATAATTTGTTAAGAAAGGCGTTCGTAACAGAATGCCAACCGCTTTTTGCATTCAAATTTTTCGCGTTGGGACGTAAAGAACATTTATATGTTGACGTATAAATTAATTTTTTTGATGAACTACTTACTAAATAGTGCAAACCAAGGTAAAATACGCGCTGAAAAAATTTTCCTTATTTATTTTTGATTTTTACAATAAATTTACAGATATATTCACTTATGCCATCATAACTCGCTTCTTCACCGTCTCTGCCATTTCGTCTTCAGTTTTTCGCTTCAAAACGGATTCCATCAAACTGTCGAGGGTTTTGTAGACAATACTAGAGTCAGTGATGAAATGACTAGCATTCACCAGTTCAACACTTTTGTCTTGGGTTTCCAATTGCTTCAGAAGTTTGATGCTGTTGGTGTAGTGAACAAGTGGATCAGCGAAGCCATGAACAAGTCGAACTGGATGTGGAATTGGGATTACTGGGTTTAGACGACATACACAGTTCTTAAAAGGTTAGTTTTTATTATTTGACTGTGTTTTAATATGGGAGGCTTTGTAAAATATTATTTTCGTTAGAAAAGTATGGTGCGATTAAGTTACTGTACCTTTAAGGGTTTACTGAATTTAAAATTTGTCTATTATGTGATAGTTGAAGAAGTAAATTTTTTACAATCACTGTGAGTTTCAAGTTATTATCTTTGTTTTCAAAAAAGTTATAGCGAAAATAATTTGGGTTAATTTTCCGTTTTATTTTTGAAAAAGTAGGGTTGGTAGAATTACTGTAACTTTTAAATTAACATAAAATTTTTAATGTGTTTGCATGCGATAGTTAGGTAAAGGAATATCTAACTTTGCTAAAAATTTCAAGTTTATACCTATATTTTGAAAAAAGTTATAGCTAAAAGAAATTGTCCATTATTCGTCGCCAGTGTAATATTTTAACCGGATAAAACTTCAAAAAGCCTTTACCTCAACAAAATTTTGCAGATTCTCTAGATTCACTTTGATTTTGATACTTTTGTCGACACAAGGATGGAAACATTCTTTGCCGTCCTTTAGTCTTTGAACTGTTCCAGGTCTTATCTTATCCATGTAGTCTAAGTCAACACAGACGGCTGGAGCAAATGCGGCTAGTCCAACGATCGAGTTTGTTGGCACGTCAAGAGCGGCTCTTAGTGCTGCTTGAGTTCCAGCTGAATTGCTTATCAATAAGGCTGGTGAGGCGGGGTGAAGGCGCTGGCGGATATTTCGACGCCAATCGTCGACGTGCCAAATGTATTCTGGGTTACCGTAGTTGTCGTAGAAGACACTGTAATGTAGATTGTATATAAAGGCAAAAGTTTTTAATTTGGTTTGGGTAGGACGTGGGTAAGTTACGGAACGGTATGCCATATTACTGTAGGCAAGGGTAGGACAAGTAACGGGTCAGGGTAGGGTAGGACGGTAAAAGAGTGAGGGTAGAACAGAGTAAGGCCATTGTAAATAACTTACTTTTCAAAAGCCATACCATGTTTTCTGGCCCATTCATTCACGCTAATGGCCAGAGGGTTATTCCTAATGGCACCAAGGCCATGGCAAAACACTACTCTTAAACCTGTCATACTGTAAGTTATAGCACTTTTATTGTATCAAAGGTAATACAAAGTAAAATGGCACGTTTTTTGAACTTTCTTTGTAAATTTAACGCAATTTTCAAAAGTGTAGTTACCTACTACAATATGATTTTAAAGCAGATATCTAGTGGAATATAGTAGGTCTCGGCTAATATTTGGGTCTTTAATACGCGTAAAATCTTGCTGAATAGAATATGCTTTTCAAAATATAGGTTAATGTGCAATAAAAATGGCTTAAAATTAGTTTAAATGCCAATATTAAGCTAGATCAGGTACCTATTACAATATAATAACAGCTCAAAAACCTCAAATTTCCTCAAAAAATGCCAATATTTTTTAAAATACCAGTAGCGAAATGATAGTAAAACAATTTCAAGTCGGTTTGTAGTAGTTTACTATTCGAATCCGAGAGTAGCGTCGAGTTCAGCTGAAATTCGTCGCTCCGTCGAAAACGAAAACTGCCGCTGGCGCCCAAGATCGCAAATCCAGTTCGCAGAAGTGTCATTCTAATGGCGTGATTTGTGTTCTACATTCGGAATTGCATAATTTGAATTAGGGCTAATTTTTGGGTTGTGTTTTGTAAACAGATTTGCAATTGGGATTAACTAGGGAATTGCACCAAATATCCCTCGGCTTTTTTATAGGATGAAAGAGCATAAAAAGTTACCGGGAGAACTGTTTTCAAAAACTGCTAAATGGACTTGGCTAGCGAGTTACAGTAGCCTCTATATCCTTATATGTTTAAAGGGTATAGCTTTTAAAGTTCAAAAAAAATGCTATTTTTTGATAATTATTTCTTCCTAAAAGTGTCTAAAAGCAAAAAATACAACTTAAAAAGTATTTTTTCAATCAAAATATTGTTTGGCTAGCCAAAACTTCTTGTCAGCATGGCTGGGCGCTAAAATGAAACCGGCGGGATCCCCAGACTAACTTATTAACCACTCGACCACACTGGATTGAAGTTTCATTCCATTCGATTACTCAAGACGAATGAGAAGGATCAAATAGGAAACCCTATGTAAATCCTTTAATCGCTAATATCTCACTAGCCGAATCTATTTAGCAGTTTTTTAAAACAGTTTTCCCGGTAACTTTTTATGCTCTCTCATCCTATATAGGTCTTGTTCAAAAAGCCGAGGGATATTTGGTGCAATTCCCTAGTAAGGTAGGAGGGGTAAGGCAAGGTAGTGATAAAGTAAAGGGGGTAAGATAGTGTAGAGTAGGGTAGAGGAGAGTGGTGTTGGGTAGGGCAGGGTAGTTCAGGGTAAGGTAGGATGCTATAATGTAGCGGAGGGTAGGGTGGGGTAGGATTGGATAAGGCAAGGTAGTGCAAATTAGGATAGGATATGGTACCGGTAGAGTAAGGTAGAGTAGGACAGTAGGGTATTGTAGACCCAAAGACGAATACATACGTTTTTCCTCTCCTTGTCATTCCTCGTCCCAAATAAAAAAGTTAGAAAAAATTAAAGGTAAATCCTCTCCCCAGCTTTTTGGTGTTACAGTACTCCACTTGAGTCTACCTTATAGTCTCTTGTCATAAATTATGGTATTATATAATGACCTTCTTTACATTATTCTATCCTACCTTTCCCTATGCTCCCTACCCTACACTTACCTAGCTTACTCTTTTCCACTCTACTTTATCCATATTCCTTTACACTATCCCATTTTACCATACCTTGACCTTTCCTACAATATCGTAGGAAAGTAAGAAGCCTTGCCCTACTCACTTTGCCTTACTCTTTCCCACCGTACAATGCCCTGATCTCTCCTTCCTTCCCTTTCGCCGCACTAACCTAATTAACATACACGGTATTATATTATAGTATACCTCATATATATCTATTTATTTCTTTCGATAAAACTTTAACAATGACAATACAAAAACACACAAGATAATGACAAAACACAAGAGTAAAGTAACACAAAATACAGTAAAATGTACAATAAAAGAATGAGAAATAAAACAAAATGAGATGCGTTGAGACGTGCACCTTAAAGACGATATACCACAATGTAAAGGAAGATACGAAGGCTGTAGTATATCAGAAGCATATTTTAGCACAATTATGACATCTTTGTGACAGTAGTAAAAGTTCTGTCATTTTTAGAAATTTTGGGGTAATTTGTACTATACAGTACCAAAAATACATATTTTTTGGATTAAATATAGTACGAGATACCATAGTAATAATATAGGAGTAAAAAGTTGTTTCGACCGGTATTTTCAAGGCATTTACAATTTATATACAGACGATCAGCATAACAAGCCATATTGACCTATACTAAAGCGACACAAAAGTCTTGTCGTTAATTAACACTGGTTTGATAGCTAAAAAAAACGACAAAACGTTTGTAACTTCAGTATAAGACCTCAAGATGACATTTTATATAAAGCTTGTACTAAAGTAAAGTTCAAAATGTCGTTAAGTCAAAAATAAATGGCATTATATGTCTTTCGGATTAATATAGAGGTAATACGTCCAATAAACAATATTAAACATGACAAAAGAGAAGGGAAACCAGAAGCGACAGTGCAAATCAATGGTCTGTGCCACTTTTCGATTCATTTCCATTCGTTGTTGACTGAAAAATGGCAGGAATATTAAGAAAAACAACCAAAAAAGCGTTTTATAAGCTGTTACTAAGAAAAAAAATTTTTAATCACCCCCAAAAAATTTTACCCCGCCCGGAGAAAATCAATTTTTTTGAACTTTTGAACCCTTCCTAACTTCCTAAACTTGTTTTTTCTTGTTACCCACTGTCAATAAATTTTTACCCCGCCCAAAAAAATTTTGCCACGCCCTGTAAAATCGATTTTTTAACATTGAACGGCCCTTCCCATACTTTAATAATTGTCTTTTTTGTAAAAAAAAATGTTACCTCGCCCTAAAAAATTTTTAATTACCCACCCCCCTCCCCCCCCTATAAAATTTTTACCCCGCCCAAAAAATTGTGACTAAAAATGCCCTTTCTTACCGCTGAGCCTTCTTATAGTTGATCTTGACCGCATCCTTGCCAAAGCCAGGTGTTGGGAAAGGTAACGGAAACCCACTGATGGGGTCATTACTCCTTCTGAACAAGTTTTGTCGCTCATTATTGTTGTTATTGGTTTCACTCGGGGATTCATCGCCCATCCTCGTAAAGAAGTTGGCTCCATTGTGAACTCCATTACCATTTCGATCTGGCAACAGGCTCATGTGCATCTCTTGCTTTATTCGCATTCGTTCGTGCTGAAAGTACAGTATGAAGTGAAGTAGAGACAATATCCTACTCTACCCTACCTACTGAAAACTATCCTACATTACCCTACCCTACTAAAAACTTACGTATTCCTCTGCCATTCTCTTCGCTTGAGCTGATAGACAGTCTTTTACTGGCATTTTCTCGTGTATTTTCCGCCGAGTACAGTAATTTACTATGGTAAACTCTATTAGAGCCAAGAAGACGAACGCCATACAAGCACCGCCGAACACGTCCGAGGCTTTGACGTAACTGGCCTGGAATCAAATTATATTTTTTAACTGGTCTAGGACTAAAGGGTTAGGGCTTAAGCTTGGGCTAGAGCTAGGCGTAGGGTTAGGGCTAGAGCTAAGGCTAGATTAAGATAATACAAGGCTGTAGCTGAAACATGGGTAGGACAGGACTTTAGTTAGCGCTAGGGCAAGGCTATAGCTAAGACTAGGCTAAGTCAAGAGGAACGCTAGGCTAGGAAAAGACTATTGCTAGGCTAGGGCGAGACTTTAGCTGGGATATAGCTAGAACTAGGCTAAAGCCAGGTTTTAGCTAAGGCTAGGCTAAAAAAGGCTAATTCTAGGTCAATGCTAACGCTAGGCCAGATAAAGGCTAAAGCCAGGCTAGAACAAGACAAGGGCTGGGCTACATTAAGACAAAGCTATAGCTAGAACTATTCAAGGACAAGATTATAGCTAGACTAAGACATGACTATAGATAGAGCTAGGCTAGGTTCAGGGGACTATAGTTCGGCCTAGGCAATAGCTGGAGCTAGAATTAGACTCGAACACGGCTAAAGACTAGGCTAGGACAAAGAAATACGGCTATAGAGTAAGCTAGGACGAGGCAATAGCTTGAGCATAGTCTAAGGCTAGCATCAGAGCTAGGACTAGGAATAGGGCTGGGGCTAGAGCTAAGGCTATATTTTTTAATTTCCAAAACTTCCTCATTTTTTCTTTCCCTTGAGGCCATTTAGAGCCTTTTATTCCGTATTTTATGTTAATTGAAACGAATTATAAAAACTTTCAAACGATTTAGGACCAAACAAATCTCCCACAGTCTTTTTTCGAACTTTATGCCTTGGGGGAAACTAAAATTAACACGAAATTCGGACCTTGGACTTGTAAAAAAATTTTTGTCAAACTTTAAATATAGAGAAAGATGTACGTATTTTACCTTTTTATAACTTTAAAAATTTAATTTTTTGAAAAAAAAATTGAAATCGACTTACTTGAGGTAAAGACATTCGTTCAGCTGAACTTTGAGTTGATAGGGTGAGTAGTCTAAAATGAAAAAAAAGTTTAGCTTTTTCATAAGTAATAGTACTACAAGTTCAATATTGAAAAGCCAGTCCTGGTCTTGTCCTGACCTCAGCCTTAGTTCAGAGCCATAGCCCAGAGCCCTAGTCCAGAACCCTAGCCCAGAACCCTAGCCCAGAGTCCTAGCCCCAAGCCCTGGCCCAGAGTCTTAGCCCAGAGTCCTAGTTTTAGCCGTTGGCTTCAGCCCTAGTCCCAACCCTAGTCTTCGGACTATCCCTAACCCTAGCCTTAAGTTCATGCTAGCTATACCTTAAGCCTAGCATGGCTTTACCCCAGCGCTTTCTTTATTCTACTCTGCCTTATCTTCCTACCCTACCCTATAATATGATGCTTACTCTACCTTACAGTCTAGTTTTTACCCTACGCTACCATACTCTGCAATAAAAAGTTTAATCTAGCTTACCCTATACTTTTTTCCCTACCCCAACCTATAATTTTTACCCTGCCCTATAATACAATGTTTACCCTACCCTATGACACATTTATTAAACATCAACTTACGTAGTAATGCTCAACGAAACCCTCCCAGGCACAGCCTCCACGTCCAGCCAGAACGATATCCATGATATGACAACGATCAAACTCTGAGGAACATAACTCTGAATAATGTGATGCATCAGAAGCCGATCCACGATGAATTCGGCCGTCGCACAACTCCAATTGCCTGTGGCATAACTGTCGTTCCTGACAGCCGGTATGATCTCACGTAGCTTCATATCTGGCATTCGGATCTCTGGATTCGTCATCACACCGTTACTACTCCATTCTATTATCAAGGATTCTACGTCGTATGGGTCTGAAGATAGATTTTTGATTAGAAATGGTAGGTTAGGTACTATATAGTACTAAAACTTAAATCTTTCATAAAACGATGTAAAATAGTAATATATACTACAACAAAATGTTTTGTTGCAAAGTTATACTTTTTTTACTGTTTTGTACTACAAAATACAATTTTTCTATAAAATTTCATTTTTGGTGCTATATAGTATCAGAAAAAACAAAATTTTTAAAAATTTAAAAAATATATTTTATCACTTAAAAATGACCTAGAGTGTACCCTACAACTCTAAAAAATTTAATTTATTGATCAAAAAAAGTTTTAGGTACTATATAGTACGAAACAAATAAAATTTTCAAAATTTCAAAAAAAATTTTTTTGTTTTGAAAATAGTGCTACACCACATATTAAAGTCTCAAAAACGTTCATACTAACCTAAAGATACTGAAACCCAACTTACACGACAATATCCTTAACGAGCACCCTTGACTATCTAATGGATACCTGGCCAAGTGTAACATGCAGATCACTGTCATTGATATCCTGAAAAGTTCCAGGATCAAATATGTTATCAAATATAACTTAAATAACATATTGGACTCAAAAACAAGTATGAAATACTCACCGAGCATCATAAAATACAGTACCATTAGAATAGATCCAAACAAGGAAATTTGGTGAGGTGACGTCATGAAATGAGGCTGTTCTGGCGTTCGCAAAATACAAATCTAAAAATATTTTTTTTTAAAAGCAAGTTGTGATACTTAGTTATAGTACTATAAATTCAATTTTGTCACAGATGCGCTTTGAAGTTACAGTGCTTTTATTATATTCACCATGGGTTGAAAACAGTAAACTTCAGAAAAAAGGCTATTTTTCAGCCTAAAATCAAACATTTAAAAACAAACGTATCATATCATAAGAAAGAGCATTTACTGCGCTACATTACCGTAAAAGTATCTTTAATCTTGAATCAGCAGTTTTAAAGTTATGACCAATTGTTCAAGCCCATGTCTCCTAAAAACCTACATTTTTTCGAAAAAGTTTAGTTTTTTTTTAATTTCTAAGTTTTCAAAGGTGCCATTTTTTATTGTATACCGTCATAGTTACTTTATACTATACTCTATGCTATCATCATACCAACTGTTTAATTTGACAACAAAATTTTAAGTTACCGATCCTTTTTTATATTCACCATGACATCAAACTCTCAAAATCAACCTAAATTCCAAATTTTTCAAAAATAATGCCATTTTTAATAAACTATATCTTAAATATAGATAAAGTAAATTCTTTCAAGCTACTGAAAACGTACCTGGATGCCAGATCAGCCCGTACAAGTTCATATCCTTGACTAAAATGCGCTCGCTGCCATTATGAGCCAGGCGAGCGTCCACCCATCGTAATTGTAAATAACAGTCAATATGAAAGTCCTGTAAACATGAATATACTTGAGTGTAAACTAGAAAGGTAGCCAAGATACTAGTCTTTAAACGTCTTAAAGCAAATTTTTGAAAAAGTCTATTTTAAAATGACAACAAGAGTTTTAAACTTACCATAGTTTGAGCGCGAAATGAAGACATACCTTCAATGTACATTTGTACCGTTACCCGTGTTGGTTTGCCTGAAGTAAATTGTAGTTTAATGAAGTTTTTAAAATGTATTTTTTGTTTCCTACTGAATCTCCAAAAATTTGTTTATACAAGCAAAAAAGTTCGTTCGTATTTTACAAGTTGCATTGTGCAGTAATTTTAATAGTAATGCACCGTGCAAAATTCCGAAGGATTTTAACAAAAATATGTGATTGAATATAAATTTTCGCCTACATTGTCATCCCTTTCATAAAATTTTAAAAATCATTCAAAAATTTGCATATGGAACATTTTTTAATTTTTGCACCGTGCAGTAATTTTAAAATTATGCACCGTGCGAAATGCCAAAGGCATTGAACAAAAATAAATTTCTAAATATAGATTTTGATCTAGATTGTCATATTCTTGTCATAAAATTTCAAAAATCTTCAAAAAATTTTCAATTTAAATATTTTTTTAATTTTTGCACCGTGCAGTAATTTTAAAATTCATGCACCGTGCAAATGCCAAAGGGTTTTCACAAAAATAAGTTTCTAAATATAGATTTTAATCTAGATTGTCATACCTTTGTCATAAAATTTCAAAAATCTTCAAAAAATTTGCATATTGGACGTTTTTTAATTTTTGCACCGTGCAAAACCCAATAAAACGACTGCACCGTGCAAAATGTCTCAAAACTTTTGAACCACTTGACTCAAAAATTTAAAAAAATAAAAATTATCCTCAGAAAACCCACCTTGACCAGTAGTAGGCACCGCATGATTGTTATAGTACTTGTTTCTTCTCATAATCGATGTCAAGTCGATATGACCGCCCACTTTTTCACCAGCCTGGACTAACATCAATGTTCGCATGAAAACCAGCAACAATGGTGTACAATGATGCATCATGGCCATGTTCGGCCTATTCTTATGGTTTGGCAAGGGAGTTATGGAGAATTGAAGAGGATCATTTAAAGTTTGGTTTTGGCGCCAAATTCAAATGAGAATTAATAAATTTTGAAGAATTTTGAAGTTTTTTCTAAAAATGTTTAAAAATATTAGTTTATTGAAAATTTTTGTCGTATTTTACAGTATATTTCACGATAAAAATGGTTTCATTTCAAAAAAAATTTTAAAAAAATTTTGAATTTTATAAAATTAGGTTATCCTACCCTACCCTGTTATAAAAAGAATTTTGTAGGTGAAAATCAGACAAGGAAACAAAATTCACTCGCTAATTTGTGGAACTTGGCCATCAATTAACATTCCTTGTTTTGGCAAACTTCGCAGAAACTTGAGAAAACAGGAAAAAACAAGAAACACCCCCGACTATTTTACCTTTCCTTTTCAGTAGCACAACAAAGATTAGAAAAATTACCGAAAAATGTATAAATAAAAGTCTGAAATACGTATATAATCTATAATAGAATAGGGTAAGATAGGTTAGGACATGATAAGGTAAGACAAAGTAGGGTAAGGTCTAAAATCTGCAAAAAAGCGAAAAATTTGCTCACAAATGCAATTTTAAGCCCTTTTTTCGACTTGTAGATATAAAAAAACAAGTGTTAGTTTTCAGCCTACGTACTTGCTAGTATATTGAGTACCATTTCACAAAATTTCAAAAAAATCCAAAAACTTTTGACATTTTTATGACCAATTTACTTTACCCCTCTCATTCAAATGAAACAACTCTAAAACTCAAATTTTAACAAAGCTATTCGACTGGTGGTATAAAAGTGTATGTTATGATATTTTGTCCACATATTAACAATGCCTTTGCGTAACATTTCACAAGGTTTCAGAAAAGTCCGAGAACTTTTGCATTTTCTACAGCCAATTAAAGTCAGCACCCTCAAAAGTTACAAAATCACAAAGAACTTCAAATTCATAATTTAACAAAACTTTTCGACCGGTTACCATAACATATATGTTATAATACTTTGCCCAGATATTAACCATGCTTTTGGGTACCATTTCACAGAATTTCAAAAAAATCCGAGCACTTTTGAAATTTCTACACCCAATTGAAGTCAGCACCCTCAAGGGCCATAAAATCACAAAAAACCCTCTCCCCTTCCCAAAATCCAGGTTTTATGTCATAAATAAGGAAGTGTAACAACTAATTATTGCACAAAACTTGCAAATGTATCAAATGTCAATTAAAAAAAAGACTTCCACTCGCAGACGGCGCAAACATACGAAGATACGATGAGAACCACTGGCTACTAAATAACAAAGAAATACGAAAAACGAGTCGGTTTTTTGTTATTTTACTGCTAATACGTTAAAAACCGTAAAATGGGTCCATTTAAAACACACATTTGTGTTTTGAATAATAGTCTTAAAAGTTGTTTTTGAAAAAAATAAATTTTTAATTTTTTGAAAATTTGAAATTTTTAAAAATTTTTTGAAAATTTAAGTTTTTGACATCTTTTAACAAATTTAACCTATTTAAAATTTTATTAAATCAAATTTTTGTCATCCTTAGACTTTTTGATATGTTTTTCAAAAAAAAACAAAAATTTTTTGAATTTCGTTTTTGGCGGGCTTTTGGCATTGTGTTTCAGTTGCATTTTTGTGGTTAAAAACGTTAAAATAAGTAAAATTTAAAGGAAAACGCGTATTTTACTCTGTTTTTTTATTAATTTTACCATAGATTTGAATTTTCATTTTGGCGGGTTTTTTGGCATTCTGTTTCAAGCTTGATTTTTGGCAATAAAACACTCGCCAAACCTTACCCCGCCCTAGTCTAACATATCCTATTAGTACCAGTATCAAAAACACTCTATCCTACCGTACCCTGCCGTACCGTACTGTACCGTACCGTACCCTACCCTACCCTACCCTACCCTACCCTACCCTACCCTACCCTACCCTACCCTACCCTACCTTACCCTACCCTACCCTACCCTACTTAACCACATTATGATATATGTGTATCAAACACATCATGTTTACCAAAACGAGTACCACTTGTACTAAATAGTATCAAACCCCAAAAACCGATGCTAATCTATTCAAAACCACACTCCCGGTTCCCGGTACATGTAGTAGCTGTGAATGTGGTAAAAACGCATTTCCCGAAAGCCGTAAACATCCGATTCCAATTTGAAAATCGGCGGAAATTCTTGAGAGAAAAACTGTTCGAAACCAGTTATAAACAAAATCATCGACAGACGTGCACAACAGCTGAGTATGAGGACCAGTATGAAGGCATTTTAACAATTTTAAAAACTTTAAAATTTTTAAAAATAACCCGCTATAATTATTAAATTCGTATTTTACAAAAAAAAATTCAAATTTCAAAAAATTTTTTTTTCGACCGGTCGATAATTTTTTAACCAAAATTTTAGAAAAATAGTAAATTGGTGCAACTATGTTCGTATTTTACAAAAAAATTCAAATTTCAAAAAAAATTTTCGACCGGTCGATAATTTTTTTCCTCAAAATTAAAAAAAATTAATTTTTTTTTACTTTATTTCAACCAAAAATGTCAATCTAAAAAAGAAAAATGATAAATTTAAAAGTGATAGTGAAATGGAAGATTTTTAATGTAAAATACATTACAAATCTTCCACTCATCTTCCACTTGGCTATTTCCCTTGTAATCTATCAAAAAAATCATATTTATAGAAAAAAAAGAACATTCGTATTTCACCAAAAAAGTGTTAAATTTTCAAAAATAATTATCGACCGGTCGAAAAATTAAAAAAAATTTTTTTGTAAAATTTAAAATTTTTTTTAAAATTGATATTTGAGAAGTTCTATTAGCCTTATTTTACTCAAAAAAGTGATTTTTAATCAATTTAAAACTCTAAAATAACATAAAAAGCAAAAGCACAGGCTGCATAACACTGTAATTGATAGGGCGCAAGCTTCACACTTCAAAAGATGACTTTCTGCCATTTTAAACTAAAAATAAGAAAAAATATGAAATACTAGTATAATAACCTTCCAAAAAACCTCAAAATTTTTTTTTCCAAAATGAAAATTTTAAAAAAATTATAGTTTTTTCAAAAACGGTGCGTATTAGGTGGCAAAGACAAAAGCCGACCAAATCGAGACAAAAAGCCACAAAGTTCAGAAAAAAAGTCATTTTGAACATGAAAAAAATTTTGGAATACGTAATAAAATTTGCTTGGTAACCGAAAATTAGTCATAAATTGGGGGAGTTGGCCAGAAATGGCAGAATTATGAGGGAAATGGCAGTTATGACATTTTTTATATGATTTGAATTGAAATATGACAAAACTTAAAACGTTAAGACTAAAAATTTATTATTTATTTAATTTTCTCATATTTTATTTTTAAATTTCCAGAAAAACTACTTTTACAGCGTTTTAAACATCTTCAGCCCGCGCCCTAGCTTCTGCAGTCTGCGCTTTCAAAAAATCGTAGAAATTCTTTTTAAAAACAAAAATATGCTAAGGATCACAAAAAAAGTAAAAATTAACATTTTTAATTTTTAAAATATTAACAGCTCGCGCCCCAGCCTACATTTTCATTCAGCAGCCTGCGTTTTTCAATTTTTTCAACCTGCGCCCAACAAGAACTCAAAGACTGATTCCAAGTAATAAGAAAAGCCCTTTTTAATACCAAAAAAACATTTGTCACCTTTGAAAAAGTTTTTTGCGACATTTATGGCCGCCAAACGTTTTGTTTCATAAGATTTCACACAGCGAACACGCCCCTCCCCTCCCCCCCTCCATTTAATCTACAGGAGTTTTGTGCCCGAGGCGTTTTTCCACACGTTCTTTGGACCAAGAAGACTTAAAATATAGTTTATGGCTTCCAAAAATTTTTTGATTTTTAAAAAAAAAATTTTATTTTACCCTGCCCGATCTAAATCTATCATGTCGTACCCAGCTCTCAAATGCCTAGCCTGAATTACCCTTGCCCTGCCTTACCCTACCTTACTCTATCTTATCCTACCGTACCACACCCAAACCTACCATCATTACACCTTCAGATCTGCTTTTGCCTTACTCTAGGTCGTTTCACCATACCCTATTTGTTTTGCCGTACCCTATCCTTGCCATACCCTACTCTTGCTTGACCCTACCTTTTTAAATCTGGCAAAAAAATCACTAAAAGATCAAGGCGTGACACTTAAAACGGTAGCCAACACGTCTGAATCCCATAAATCCAGTCATAAATGATTTATAAACTTGTCTGAAGACCTCTTTATGACTTTTAGAATGTTTATTAGCAATTGCATGTCATTTTTATTCTCTCGGCAGTTGGGCATTACTAACTTATTTAAATGGGCCTCAAATTCACGTTTTTAGGTACAACAGATCTTAACACTATATATAAGTTTGGCACTATTTTAGTTTTTTTAAAATTTTTAAAATTAAAAATTTTTTAAATTAAAATTTTTTTTGCTATTTAAAAACGTAATAATAAAGCAGAAACAAAGCCTTAAAGTTACCTTTTGTTGTTTTACATTAATGACGACAATATATATTATTATATTTACAAATGCTACATTTACAGTACAAGATATAGCCAAACTACGTTTTTAATCCCATTCTTACTTACAAAAACAAAATTGTAAGGATTTATGCCTAAACATGTCTCGCTAGCCCTAGCCATTTATTATATTGCCATGCCTTACCTTTGCCTTGCTTTACTTTTGCCATACCTTACCCTTGCCATGCCTTGCCATGCCTTACTCTTGCCATGTTTACCCTTGCTACGCCTTACTTCTGCCTCGCCTTGCCTCTTGCCATTTCTTACCCTTGCCAAGAGTTACCCTTGCTATGCCTTGCTTTTGCCATATGCTACCATTGCCATGCCTTACTCTTGCCATGCGTTACCTTTGCCAGGTTTTACTTAAAGCTCTGATCAGTCCTACCATATTTCAGCACTAGTCATACTCATATGCCAAATTATATTATAAATAAGCTAAGCAA